CTTGACCCTTACATTTTACATATAGAGACAAAATTGAGGAACAATTGAAAAGGTCAGAAAATGAGGGCATAATTACACTAATTATATCGAATGAGTGGGGTAGTAGATTGGTACCAATTTTGTAACCATCTGGTAATATTAAGAATTGTGTAGAATATAAGTCACAGTAAATAAGATGACAGAGTAGATAAAGTATCTTTATCTAAGATGTAAAAAGTATTTAAAAAAAAATATAGTTTAAAAAACTAAAAAACACGCTTTTAAAGCACATCGAACTAAAAAGTTAAAAATAATTTTTAAAATTAACTTAAAACTATAATGAACGAAAAATACTAGTATTACTGTGAAAAAAATCGTCGGGCGCTCAATATACAAAAAACATGGCACAAAGCACCTACGCTTTTTTTCACAATAATTCTAGTATTTTTCGTTCATTATTGTTTTAAGTTAATTTTAATAATTATTTTTAACTTTTTAGTTCGATGTGCTTTAAAAGCGTGTTTTTTAGTTTTTTTAAACTATATTTATTTTTCACTTTTTAGTTTCATGTTATGATAATAGTTAATATCAATATCATGGTTGTAACGGGTAACGGGAAATCAGGGTTCGATTCCGGAGAGGGAGTCTAAGAAACGGCTATCACATCGAAGGAAAGCAGCAGGCGCGCAACGTGGAGGCAGTGACGATAAATGACATACGGGAATCATCCCTCGTAATCGGAATGAATACACTACATATCTCTTAATGAGAATAAAGCGTATTAATATATAAGTTTTAATAGTAATTAGAATATATATATATATATAAATGTAAAGCGACTTAAGTACGTAAACGTATCACGCACGAGGTATAGCCGTGTTTTGTGGGCGGGAGAGGCGAGGGGAACATTATACACGAGGCATATATACGGCGTCGGCTGTAGGAATATATAAATGAATATTAACATATGAATATATATATATATATATATATTAATATTAGCGGTGGCGGTAGGAATATATGATCATCGCATAATATCGCGGCACTTTCGCTGGCGTCGACGACACGATGTCCGGCGTGATCCTCGAGCGTCAAAAGGTTAGCAGCGCAGATGACGACGGTGCGGATCGGTTTGTTGAGGTTGTCACTTTGAAAACGGGAAGAAGACTACGGTATCGTTGGCGGCGGGACATCGTGCGGCACTTGCTGGACTTTGCACCGCGGCGTATAACGCGCGGTGTTGGTCAGTCAAATGCTCATAAAATAGGGCGACGGCTGATAAAAGTGGCACGAGTCGTGGGGCATCGTGTATAATGAAACGACGCGAGGCCGTGTCAATCACAATAAAAATTTGTTATATATCACTGATGACACGCACGCGTATACGAAAACCAAAAATAAAAAAAATTATACAGGAAAATATTGTTGTCGGCCAGCGGTGAGCGGGGTGGGGTGAATGCGTTACAACAGTCTAGTCTCAAGGTCATAGTCTACGGGATAAGCGACATTATAACACGTGCCGCGTGGAGTTACAAACTTACAACATACGAGTGAAACTAATATAAGCGTGTTAATAAGTCGCGGTTAAAAGTTCAGTAAAATTGATTTATGAGAAGCGTACAACCAATTAGAGTTGGACGAGTCTTCTAAAATCTTAGCATGGAGCACAAACAAAAAATTATTTTTAGTCAATCAATTTCCGTATGGTATTTCATCGGCAAGTGCAAATTTCAAAGAGTAATGGATTAACTTTTTGAAGGTAAAGAAAATGTTACACATTTTTTAGACGATATAATAGTAACAGGTAAAGATAGACAAATTTTATATATTTAGAAATTATATATTTAGGTCATAAAATTTCATCAGAAGAGTTAAGTAAATGTGTAGATAAAATTTCAATTATTATGCGATCTATTTACGAACTTTTAACAAAAAATCTCAAGTTTATTTGTACAAAATAATGTCGAGGTGATTTTGACAATATTACGTGGTTGATTTTGTCAAAAAAGATTTTAATTATAATTTATCTATTATTTTATCAGTTGGTACGTTAAATGACGGTATATCAGGATGTCTTTTTCACGACGGGAAAGCCGCTCAATAAGTTTTATTTCTAGAACATTAATGGTTGCTGAAAAGAAATATCCAGTTAACGATAAAGAAGCATTGGCTATTTATTGGTGTACAAAAAAGTTATTTCAATTTTTGTGTAATAATGTATCTACGATTTAAACCATTTCTAGGCGATAGGCGAACGTAAGGAAATTCCATCTATGACTTCAACTCGTTTACAACGTTGGTCATTATTTTTGTCAAATTCTAATTTATAATTAAAATTTAATAAGGGAGATGATGTTATGGTCAAATTTTATCATCAGGTGGTAAGGAATCGGGGATTGCGGCTAAAGTAACTAAGTTGTTAGGTAAAAAGAGATAAGAATGTGAATCTAATGTGTGTAAAACTTGTATTAGGGATGCAGACTAAATGATAGAAGTTCAGTTATGATATGATATAAAAATAAATAGCATGATAAAAATACAGAAGAACAAGATAAAAGTAAGGAAATGAGTAAGGAAAAGTTAATTTTTTAATTTGTAATTAATTTGTTTCATAGTAATTCTTTTATTTATTCATATTTTTTTATAAAGATTAAAGTCATTATTGTTTATAATATATATTTACTTACTTTATTGATGAAATAAATTAAGCTAATGTAAATATTTTTTTCTTTTTTTGTTCATTATGTGTACAATTAAGTTAAAAGGAAAGTGTAGCGTATTCTAGTATAATAGATAAGATAATCTCTTTTAAACTATTATTTTGATATTTTGTCTGATCTATCAATAGAGTGCCGTCCTATTCGCAACACGTTACTTCATTTTAGTAGTTACCTCAATCAGAATAACTGTAATGATCGCTAAAAATTTCAAATTACTCGTTGTTACGTGATTAACAAAAAGTTCGTATTTTAAATATAATTCATAGTAATAAATTTAAAAAATATCATATCATTTAAATACACATTTACATTTTAATTAATAATTATTTTAAAAATTAAAAACTATATATATATATATATATATATATATATAGAGTTAACTATTTATTAATAATTATTATTTATTATTAATAATTTTTTTATGCCATAAAAGTATTTTTTTTTTGAGAAAATGAACGGATTTTTTTAAGGCCTCTATTAAGTCCTACAACAAAAATTATAAAGCTACTTAGAACGGTGAGTATCATAAACACAGATCGCCCACCCGGATTATTTAACATTTTTTAACTCGTCAATTTTTTTATGCTATTACGTGCAATGTTAGTTGTATGCAATAGTATAAGATTGATTGACCATTTTTTAATTAAAATGCGAAGTTGAGAATGTATTGCTTTTATTACTTGTGTTTTTCTTTTGTGTCTCTCCATGAAAACTCTCAGCTTTCACTTGACCGATTTTGATGATCTATGCATTGCAAAAAAAAAACAAATTTAGTTTAATTGATCCCCCATACCAAAAGTTTGAAGAAGCCCTCTTAATTTTAGAAATTTAAAAAATATCTCAAAATTATTCAAAACAATTATTGATTTTTTTTAAAACACTGATCCTAATGAAAGTTTAATACTAAAGACATTAAAAATTCTTAAAAGGGTTTGAAAAAAATCACTCACTAATAAGAAAAATAACTTTTTTTCAACTCTTTTTTAGAAAATGTTTTTGATCGCCTACACTATCATATTAAAACTCTGGAAGTGTAGTACACTATAAATAAAAAAAATTGTCTAACAATTATTCTCTTATGAGAAATAACCAAAAAAAATGCAAAATAATGTGAAAAAAATTCAGTTTACAATTTTTAAAAATGTTACGCGAGGTCTGCGTTTTCATATCCAATTAAAGCTTTCTTAAGTCATTTAAGACAAAAAAAAAAATTGTTAAGGGTATTAAATGGATATCCTGTATTTCATGTTCCTAACAAAAGACTATAGGCTAAACTATTATAAAATTTTCCAATGCATAATGTGCAATGAAACAAATAATTTAATGAGCCTCTAATTTTTAAAAGAAATTTAAAACACAGCAATTGTTAAAATACAATTTACAAATTAATATGAAATTTAACAGATTTGCATCGAACCATTATTTAAGATAGTGGTGTTAATTACTGTTAAAATCGTATTTACTTGATTCAACTATGCTGTATCCTCACTGTGTTTAGTATTTAGTTTGACAGTCTATTTTCATAATAAAACAACTGTAGGAACAATTTTTTTTTATTATTGTAGTACGTTTTATGTTCTCTAATTTGGTATTGGTTAAAAAAACCTAATCGCTCCACAACATTTCAAGCTTTGAGTTGAAAACATTTTTTTACATGTGTGTGATCAACCCATTCAAACACTTCGTATACATTGTTTTTTTTATTCAACAGACAGTATACTAAAAGAAATGTTATCTTCTTTTTTATGATTTAAGAATTTCATTGCCATTAATATATTTGTGAAAGAGTAATAATAAATCAGAATTTAAAAAGCAGAAAAAAAAAATTGGAAAATATTATTTTTAGCAACAATAAGTTCAACTAGACTAAATTCGGGTTCTTATGACATAATAATTATTAAAATCGGTCCAGTAAGAGTTGAGACAGATAAATAAAAATAAAACAAAACATGGTAAAACCAATATCTTTTAAACTTCGCATCAAAACAAAAAATTGCTAACAACAGCATAGAATTTTTTTTTTAATAACTCTCTTAAAAATAAATTATAAATCAATTATAATAAATTAGAAATTAAACTATAATAGTTTGTAAGTAAAGTCAATTAGTTAGATGAATATATTAAAAAAAAATTATCTTTGTTCATGGTAATATGTAATTATTAAAAATTATATAATAATTATCATTTTACAATGAAAATTCATTGATTAAAACTTGATGTCTCGCCAAAATTATAAATTTATACGCATTATTATTTTTCATTATATTATTATATTTTATATATACTTTATAAGTTTATTTCCTTTTTTATTACTTAATGCGTCCTTGAAGTATAAAAATGAACATAGAAATAAGTTATGAGAATATACACGTTTTGTTATATATATACCATTAAAGATTGGCATTCAGTTGATGATGTAGTAACTATGAACACGCATTCAAAATGATAAAAACTTAATGTTAAAACATGAATTTTTTTTATAAATTTTTTTTTAAATATGTTGTACCTAAAAAGTAATCTAAAATTGTATTTATAACTTCTGTCTTATTAAAATATATATTAATTATATAATAAAAATCACGAAGTATGTGTATAGCAATGATAATGGAAACATTGTTGCCGAAATACTTATTAGTAATTTTTTGTAAATATTTAATTTAAATATTTTTAATATTTTTTTTACTTTTAAATATATTAATTAATTGAATTATACATATGTGCATATTAATATTCGTTAAAATGTTATTATTTGAATAGTTAGAATTAAACAATAATAATTTTTTAGTGAAGACAATTATTTAGAAAAACATATTTCAATGTACTTGTTTTGTCTCTATTATTCCTCATAATGTGAACTTTGTTGTGAGTTTGACAATGCTTTTGCAAGAGAGACTTTGAATAAATTAAGAAAATCACAGTTCAAAATTAAGATTAGAGTTTAAGAAATTTTATACAGAAATTTAAACTATAAATATTTAGGCCAACAATAAACATTAACTATTAATAATGTTAACATTAATATTTTTTTTATTTAGATATCAAAAATACAAAGGTTTTGGTGATTTGAAACATTTTATATCAGATTTTTTATTGTTTACACGTGTTATTATTTTCAAATGTTTCACTATGTCTGTCGCATATACAGAAATACCCTCAAGAAATGATTATGGACCAAATGCAGCGTTGGCACAGGTTAGTATAAATATTAGATTGATAATTTTATATATGTGCGCAATTAAAGCAAAAATGCTGTGCGTGCTGAAATTATGTTATTCTCATAAACATAAACACATTCTCATAAATACCGATAAACATAATTTAAATATTTATTTAACAGGGACATTGAAAACAAATAAAAACACAATTTTGTTTTAGTAATCAGCTATTTTATTAAAATAATTTTTTGTTTCACTTCATAATATTTTTCATTATCATAATAAATATAATTATGTTTCAAATTGTATAAAAAAAAAAATTATTTATCATTACTGTCAATTAAAAAATTAAGTTATTTTCATATAATTTTACTGTATTAGGCATAGGGTGTTAATTTAGAATAAAAAATATATAATTTAGTGAATTTACGAGATAAAAACACAGTTTCATTTATATAAAAATATTAAATATGTTGATATAAAACAAAAATATTTGTAGGTAAAATTGTAAAAAAAAATTTTTTTATTTCAATAAAACAAAACCCAGCACAGTGGTGACGTGGCATAGTTGGATTAAGTATAATGATATCTGACAGTGATTAAAATCACTATCAAAAATAAACGCTTCGATGCAAATCTTTAGATAGTGTTTAATTTTAAAAAATTGGTGGATTATTCCAAAAGCTATATGATCTGCTAGTTCCTTATTAATATCCTGATTAAAATAAAGTATGTCGAATGAAAAAGGGATTATTAAAAAATATTATTTCTCATAAAAAAATTATGTTGATCCATACACTTTTCAATATGTTATAGCATTATAAAGTTAAAAATGTAATCGAGAATTTTCACATAATAATAGCATTCGATAGACATTTTCACCGTGAAGACAAAATAAAATCCGACATTTTTTTTTTTCGCATAATAAAGTAAATTACATTAACTTTAATTTAAGATATATATAAAAGTGTCAGACTTTCCGGAACACTTACAAAATTTAAGTTGAAAAAATTAATTTTTTGTGAAAAAGTTGTCATTTTAAATCTCTCCCTGCGGGCAGGTAAAGGGTCAAATTTAAATAATGTTGATCCATACACTTACAATATGTTATAGCATTATAAAGTTAAAAATGTAAAAAATAAAATCGAGAATTTTCACACAATAATAGCATTTGGTAGCCATTTTCACCATGAAAATAAAATAAAGTCCCAAATTTTTTTTTTCATGATAAAGTATATTACATTAGTTTTAATTTACGATATATGTAAACGTGTCAGACCTTCCGGAACATTTTCAATAGTTAAGTTGAAAAAGTAAATTTTTTGTGAAAAAGTTGTCATTTTAAATCCCCCCTGTGGGTAGGTAAAGGGTTAAATTTATAAAAAAAATATACTAAATGATTGGTAAAGACATCAAGCATCTATAAAAAAAAAATTATATTGATATGTTCATTTTTGAAAAAGTTATGGCTCTTTTAAGTAAAAAAAATTTCGAAAATGAGCGATTTTTAAATTTGTAATTTTTTTGGAGGTTTCCCCCATTTACGGGGAACGAGGGAATTTTTTTCAATTTTTGAGGGTAATGTCTTCGACTAGATACGATTTGTGATCTTTTGACGTATCATTGAAAGAAATCGGTTCGGTGAGAGCTAAGAAAAAGTGGTAACAGACACAAAAAAAAAAA